GGGTTTAAGAGTTTTAAGAGTTTAAGAGTTTTTAAGAGTTTTAGTCAAATGCATTATAATATAGTATAGATATATGTATATATATTATTTATTTTCTAAAATTAGGTTTTGATCAGTGATGAGAATCGGAATTTGACCAGAAAATAAACCGAGGATTGTTACTAAAAACCGGGGTCAGGGATTACAAAACCCACCCCATTGCCATGTCTACATGGGAATGAGGTGCGGAACCCCGATTTTCGATCCGTGTCCTTGTCATTTTCATTTCCTTTCTCAATGAGTTGGAGGTTTTTTTTCCTGTTTATATGAGATATTTTAAATCAAACATGTTAAACAACACATTCAATCTGAAATGATTCACGTTTAAAATTTCATATATTTTCAAAATTTTACTTTTATTTACAATTAAATATTCATATGTGAACAAAAATATAATATTATACATAATTGTTTAGTCAAATATTATTAGCTATCCGTGCTATTTTTTCTAAAAAGGTAAGAGAAGTTAGAATATATATATGAGATAATAAAAGTCAAACTATTTATAAAAAAAAAAATCTAATTCTGGTTTGTAGGGAATTCCCGACCCCCGTCACAGGTACACCAGGTTCCCCAATGGAACGAGTGTCGTTATCATGCTTAATCTAAATTGATCTGAATTGGATTCAAATAGTAACATTCATAAATCATATACTGATCTAGAAAAAGATGTGAATAAAAAAAGTGGATGATTGTATTTTTTTTAGTTTTTTCTTTCAGTATATAAATATATAGGCCAAGTCATTATTCGTTTTGGTGTGAGTCATGTTTCGAGTTGCATATTAATGGTTTCAAGTGTTTTACTTGACCCTCAAAGTCAGAGCGGAACACAAATGGACTGGATCAGCAACAGTGAATGGGTATAAAAAAATTTATACTTAAAATCTTAATAGACTGGAGATGATTTACTCTGTCTAAAAAAAAGAGCCCAAGGGCTAAGGCCCCTTTGGCCATCCACCCTGCTCAAAGTAGGACTATACGAGGCATTATGTTTCTTTTTTTAAGTACTAGAAGGGCATTCACGCAATGTAGCGAGATACATTTTGATTTTAATGTTTCATTTTATATTTTGGTTCTATCGATGTTATAATGCGATTTTATGTGGTTTTGAGAAAAAAATAAAATGTTTTTATTTTTGAATGAAATATTATATATTTTTTTAAAATTAAGCGAAATTAGTATTAAATCAACTATTTAAAAGTTCTTATTTTTTATGTTTTTTAATTTATTTTTTTACTATAATTTAATTTAAGTTTA